TGGCAGAATCGAAAAGGAAGTTTGAACAAATTAGAACCAAACTTCTTGGTGTTCCAAAGTCTCTTCTTATTTCTATACTTAAGAAGAAAACAGTTATGGTGTCTACAAACACTAGAAATAACAAGTCCACTACACCGATGATCTCCAAAAGAGTTCTTTGCAAAGTAACAAACTTCAAAGTCCAGAAGAATTTCCCCGGTGAATGAGAAAGGGGGAGTCAACATCAGGACCTCAACGCCACCGAATCTACAACACTTATGCAAGCAGAAAGAATGCGTCTACAATTTACAATGCAATGCCACCAGATTTACAACACTTATGCAAGCAGACATAAGGCGTTTACAATCCATAATGCCACGCCACCGGATCCGCAACATTCGTACTAGCGGACAGAAGGCGTGTATAAGTTCTCAAATGAAAGGTTCTATGCATCCAAATGGTAGTTACTTGCACAACTAAAATTATTTCAAAGTACCCCTACACCTGCACTATAGTTTGTATACACATAGGTACACAATGGGGTACCTCCAAATCAATGAAATTCTCGACCCACATGGGCTCCGGCGAGCATGTCATTGGTACACACATGACGTCTAGGGATGCTGCATGGGTCAATAAGTGAATTCTTGTTCGAACACGATCCTTCTATACGGATCTATAGGAGTCTACAGGGTTCAAACCTTCAAACAAATACACGGTTGTGGTGACTAGTATATTTGTTTTAACACATTCATATTAGGCCTTCAAGGCCTATAATCAAAAGAATTCACTAAACAAAAGGCACGAAGCCTACGAAACCCGATCGTCCTAAGCATGTAAATAGGAGTAGACAAGGTTCAAACCATCGGATAAATATGTGGTCATGAAGTCGACCGGAAAACTTATCTTATACATTCATATTAGGCCTTCAAGGCCTTCAATAAAGAAAATTCATTAACAAAGGCACAGAATCTACGAGAAACCCGATCCTCGATCAACAGCTTGGCCGAGTTGACAAGGTTCAATCAAATAAAGAGAAATGAACCTAAACACCCCGATGATGGCCATGTTGAATGTAAATCTCAACCGGATGGGTAAATTTCGGGCATCTTTCAAATGTCTCCCAAAAGTCCATTTCTCAAAATCCCAAAAAAAAATATTTAAAATTTGAAATAAATCCATCAATAACTTAAAGCAAAATCCATCCACCCTCCTCAAACAGTTTGCTGAGGTGGACAAATTAAAATTTACTTCAGCTCACAAAAGAGTTAAATGTCTAGTCGAAAATATCACTAGGATTCATTCTCAAATAATCTCCTGCCAATAAGGACGTGGGACGTGTCCTCTAACCGGTAGTTTTGTCGCCAAATGGCACCATAGGATAAACGGTTATGACGACCCGGGGCCCTCTGAACCGAGTGGTTTTGCCACTAAATGGCACCACGAAATACTGGTTATGGCTAGAGCTAATACGCTCCTTATTGGCATCAAATCCTTGAGATATGAATCAATAGGATATGATCGATAGGGCACAAAGTCCTTTGTTAGCTAAGGTGGATCCATATTTGTCCCCTTAGGCAAATACTCACCCCAGGTCTACAAGGTCCCCTTGGACGAAGAAACCCATGGCTGCCGACAAGGATCCTTCTGTCAGGTTGGGTCGACTACCTCCTCTGACTAAGTAGACCAGGGACCATACAAAAGGTACATTCCCTGGCAGAATCGGAAAGGAAGTTTGAACAAATTAGAACTAAACTTCCTGGTGTTCCAAAGTCTCTTCTTAGTTCTATACTTAAGAAGAAAACAGTTCTGGTGCCCACAAACACTGGCAATAACAAATCCATTACACTGATGATCTTAAAAAGAGTTCTCTACAAAGCAACAAACTTCAAAATCCAGAAAGTCCATCCCCGGTGAATGAGAAAGGGGGGTCAACATCAAGGCCTCCACGCCACCGGATATGCAACATTCGTATAAGCAGACAGAAGGCGTCTAAAAACTATAACGCCACACCACCAGATTGGCAACATTCGTACAAGCAGACAGAAGGCGTCCAAAAACTATAACGCCACGCCACCGGATCCGCAACATTCGTACAAGCAGACAGAAGGCGTCCAAAAACTATAACGCCACGCCACCAGATCCGCAATTTCTATGCAAGCGGACAAAAGGCGTTTACAAATACTTTCAAAATACCCCTGCACGTGCACCGTAGCTTGTATACACATAGATACACAAAGGGGTATGTCAAATCAATAAAATTTCCAAACACTCGTATGGGCCCCGACGAGCGTGTTATTGGTACACACATGACGTCCAGGGATGCTGTGCGGGTCAATAAGTGAATTCTAGTTCGAACCTGATCCTTCTATACGGATCAACATAAGTCGTCAGGGTTCGAACCTTCAGACAAAATACACGGTTGTACTGACCAGTGTATTTATTTTAATACATTCATATTAGGCCTTCAAGGCCTATAATCGAGAGAATTCACTAAGGCACAAAGCTTACGAAACCCGATCCTCTATCGACAGCTCGACAGAGTTGACAAGGTTCACCCACAAACTGCAAATATTTTCAAATGGAAAAGACCCCATGAACACCCTGATGATGGCCGTGTTGAATGTAAATCTCAACCGGAGGGGTTAATTTCGGGCTTTTTTCAAATGCTCCCAAAATTCCATTCAAAATCCAAATTTCATAAATCCTAAAGTCTAGATATTTAAAATCTGAAATAACTCCATCAATCACTCAAAGCAAAATTCATCCACCTTCCGCAACAGTTTACTGGTGTGGACAAATCAAAATCTACTTCTGCTCACAAAGAGCCAAATGCCTAGTCAAATATATCACTAGGATCCATTCTCAAAAAATCTCTTGCCAATAAGGACGTGGTACGTGTCCTCTAACCGACGGTCTGCCGCCAAATGGCATCGCAGGATAAACGGTTATGACGGCCCGGGGCCCTCTGAACTGAGTGGTTTTGCTGCCAAATGGCACCACGAAATATCGGTTATGGCCAGAGCCAATACGCTCCTTATTCATATCAAATTCTTGAGATATGAATCAATAGGATATGATCGATAGGGCACGAAGCCCTCTGTTAGCTAAGGTGGATTCAAATTTGTCCCCTTAGTCAAATACCCATCCCAGGTCTACAATGTTCCCTTGGACGAAGCAACCCATGGCTGCCAACAAAGATCCTTCTGTCAGGTTGGGTCGACTACCTCCTCTGACTAAGTAGACCAAGGACCACGATGGCCCGGGACGACGGAACCATGGGATCATGATCAGGCCCATCATCCATTCCCCCATCATCTGCTTTAAGTGCAAGATGGTGCAATTTCCATTTTAAATATCAAACTTTCCAAATTCCCAAATCCAAATCCAGTTCTCAAATTCCATATTCATGTTGCTACTATATGCCAGATAACATGTATCTTTACATTTCTGAATGATGTCTAGCCTTAATCGAAAGTTCTCTCTCGTGATCAAGAGGGGTAATTAACTATAGGGGCTTGCTCCTATAGGAAACCAGAACTCAGATCATAAAAGTCCTCGCAAAATGAGGGCGAAATCTCTGGGTAGTGTCTTATCTATAAATCCACCTGCCTTCCAAAATTTACCCCGGAACTTAGTTCGTTGAAACTCTCTCGCCGAATAAAAAGAAAAGCGACGGGGAGGCCGGGACTGAATTTTCGGAGCCCACATTGTGATGGATCGGCAGTTCAGCCGGTGGGCCCCACTAGGGTGGGTGGCGTGCAAGAAGCACGGGGCTCAAAGGGAATAAGTTCACCTTTCATTACTTGCCATAGAAAATCAAAATTGAGAGGGAATTAGGAAATGTTTATTTAGGGAAAGAGGGTTGATTTGAATTCAGATTTGGGAGAAAAATAGGAAGGTTTATATTATGGTTAATTGGGTTGTTTTATTTTCGTTATGTGAATTGTGTTTTGTTGTAGTTTTCTTTGGAGTTGTTCCTAACGGCGTATAGGGCTTGTGGAGAGCTGATCTACCTCTTGGTTTGTTTTGCCAAAATAAAAATCTCTTGCTGATTTCTGATGCTTTTTCTCTTCGTTATTGCTGTTTTTGCTATGAGGAGATCGGGTTCCTATCAAATTCCTTTATTAGGAAGGAATGTGCAATATTTATGACAAATTTTGGGAGTTATAGCTATTGAAGGTAATGCCATGAAAAATTTACTTAGCTATTTGGTATGTGCAATGAAGAGCTGAATGTAAACGAATAAGGTATGGCTTATTGGACTATTTCATTGAAATAAAAGAAGTTGAGAGAGAAATATGGTGACCATAGAAGTTGTTCTAAAAAGTTGATGTTAAAGACGCCAGGTCCTGATGGATTCATCAGACTGGTGCTAAGTAATATGGCTAGTATTATGATGAGTGTGAAAGGATCCGTGGCTGATTGGTCAAAGGAGAGTGTTGTATCTTCATTGTTATAATTTCATGCTACATATTTTACAATTTCTCTCTCACCATTAAAAAAAAAAGGTATTATGATGATTTTTTGAAGAGTGAAAATGGTTCTAGGATTTTATTGTAGCTGACCTTAAACGAACAAGTTATTTTAAGCTTATCCAAAATGGAGCCCTGCTAATCCTTTTTCAAACTTTATATATTCATTGGTATGGAAAGCACTTAGTCGCCTTTTTTGAAAAGTGTATTTAATCGTCTTTTCCCGTTTTTTAGTTGATATAGAAGTGCAGTTCTGGCAGCAAGTTTGTCAGATTGTAGTGCTAAAAACTGATTCAATTTCCTAATTTTATTACAGATGATTACTTATTAGAATGGATAATGCATCTCAAACTCATATCAGAGATAATGTGCATCACATACTTTTATATGGATTTTGTTCCATTATTACTCCATGCTTATTTTTAGCTGCATCTTTGTAGAGTGGGGAAACTTTTCATCGTAAATTTCAAGTCTAAATACTGTAGTTTGCTTTACTGTAGGTGAAAATCTTGACTTGATTTTTTTATTCAATATTTGCTTAAACAGATTCATGGTGAAACAATTAGACGCCATTCAACAATGCAGGTGAAGGCAATCAAGCTTTTGCAAGTTCAAAGCTTAGTTTGGCAAAAAATAGATAAAATGTTCCAAAATGTTAGATGCATGACCTCGTTTCTCAGCAATTCTCAGTTATAACTAAAAGGGTAAGCTTCAATGGCGTAACTATAAGATGCTAGTTCTTGCGCCTCAACTATTTAGTTCTCATATTTATTGGAATGTACTATGTGACATTGAATTTTGGACCAAATATCATTTTTTTTATTTAAATTATTTTGACTGCATCAGGTGTTGAGGGTTTTTTATTTTACCTGGAATTTCTTATTTTATCCAGTCATTATACATTTAGGATGGTTCCATTGTTGGTCTAATGGATTAGTTTGTTGGTTTGTGCGGTCTGTAGTACTTGTCCTGCATATAGAACTGAGGTCTAGTTATAGGAGTAACAAAAGGCCTGGTGAATCACAATCACCTTTGCGGATATAGAAATGATTCCATTTCTGCAATCATAACGGTCGTTGAGTGATCTAAACGATTGATTTGGATATGGAAAATGAGTTTAACTTCTAGCTTGTCGTTTATATACTATAAAGTGGGGAGACGCCATTCTTGCTTCAGTGTTTCAATTGGTTTCTCTAGTGTTTAAAACCTTGCTAGACCATGGACGCTCTTTCCTTAGCTACGAATTAAACAATGCAGCTTGTATGGAAGATTCCTTGCCTCAAAAGGAGTTTTCCGATGATTTCAGTTTTGATTGCCCCCTTAATATTTCACTCACGGATGCAGCTATGTTTTTTTTGTCTTTTTATTGTTTGTAAGTCTTTTTTTTTTCAACATCTTAATGTTCTCATGTGAATTCTTTACCAGGATGTCTTTAGACTTGTGAAATACATTTGTTTTCACTTTTCAATTTTCAGTAGTGGTTCATAATTGGGTAATTTATATTTAGGCCTCTCAAGAACCATACCTTGCTTTACATAGATCTAGATTTTTTAAAACACAACAGTCAGTTCATGTGCACATTTTTAAGTATCACTATTGTTCCTCAAATTGATTTCTAGTATTTGCAAGACGATCCATTGTGGATAATATTGTTAAGTTTTGACCGTTAAATCCGATCATTTGATCTTGTACATGATATTTTTGAGTGATCTTGAATGAGGAAGTGACTCATATAACATTTGTTGTCATCATTCTTCTTGCTCTATGATCTATCCCTTGCCACAGCCTTTATGGCCTCTAAGCCTTTTCCTTGCCGCGACTGCTCCATTGATTTCTACTTTCTCTTCATCCATGACGCTCAACACGTAGTCCTCTTCTATGTCAACCTCATCTCTTTAGCCTGCTTTGTAGTCATCATTGGCTATGCTCATCTTCATTCCCTATACCCAAATTGCCACCCCTCTCAACATCAAAAGTCAAAACTCTTAGCCTCAGCTTAGCAACCTCTTTCATTCCTTTTACGCCCTCAATGCCCTCTGCTCCACTGCTAAGTCACTTTCTACCACTGTAGGTGAATACTAACTTATAGTATCTAAATTTAAGCATCGTTTGGGATGACTTTCTTACTGCTTCTTAAAGCAATTTTCTATGCCCTTTATCCTCCACCGCTAAGTCACTTTCTACCACTGTAGGTGAATACTAACTTATGGTATCTAAATTTAGGCATCGTTTGGGATGGCTTTTTTACTGCTTCTTAAAGCAATTTTCTAGTACAAAAATCAAAATTTAAAATTTTGTACTAGAAAGCTGCTTTAGCCTTTGATATTTTTAAAACACGGACTTAATGTGAAGCACCATGCATAACTCGGAGACCCGGTATGATTTACCCTTAATACTCTATAACTAAATATGTTTCATCCCTGTTGCAAACTTCAATTACATTCATCAAAATCGTGGTTCGCTTATTCATATATGCATTGAAATATATATATATATATATATATAGATTTCACAAAAGATATTTACCAAGTCCTGACTGCTCTCTTATGCCTTCACCAGGTTTAAAATAAAAGAAAACCATGACAATTTTAATCAGTTGAGAGCTTTGGCTTCATCTTGTGCCATCTAAGGGAACCATGCAGCAAACAGAGGCTATCTACAGCCGAGGTTATTGTAGCAATCATTTAGGTAATTTTGTCCGTCCCCATGCCCAATCTCCAGTCGTAGACTTAGGCTTCATTTGGGACGGCTTTCTTGTTGCTTCTTAAAGTAGCTTTTTAGTTCAATAATTAAAATTTTTGCACTAGAAAGTTGCTTTAAGAAACAATAAGAAAGCCGCCCCAAACAAAGCCTTAACGTTTACATAAGTGAGGATGGCTGAGTATTTTTCTTTGATTGCTATTAACATTTACTCTTCTCTTTGCATTTGTAGACTTAGATGTACTATAATCATGTATTCATTACAAAATGATCTGTTGATTCTGTTAATGGTGATTATTTATTAGTTTTTTTTTGTTTTCATATTCTACACTTTCTGAGTATCTTTTCCACATAAGAGGGTTTTGCTTGATTTTTGCAAATTTGAAAGAGTAAAATGAGTGCAAGCTGTGACTTCAACAATATCATATATTCGGAAAATTAGTCATCTATTTGTGATTCTTAAGATACAGATTATATATTTAAAGATATGTTTGACTAATATTTTTAAAAGTGCTTATTAATATTTGAAAGTAATTTTAAATTGTTTGTTTAGGAGTTCTGCTTTTGAGATTTTATTATAAAAGACATAATTCGCTTCCGAAACTCCGTTTTGTGACCGAAGAAGCAGATACGAAAAGAATTTTGTAACCGCCGATAAAATGATGTTTAGTAAAAAGGAATTATTTTTAAGCTTTGATTCCAAACAGTAAATATTAATTGATTTTGGCGTATTCAAACCGAAACGGAGAAAAAAAGCTTAATCAAACGAGGCCTAAATTTAATTTATGATCTTCTGTAATGTTCATATTCATTTATTTTCATATAGAATTTAATTTTTCATTGGAATTACATGCTATTGAATTCAAATTTGTCCGTGAATTGGAGTGGAATAAATAGCAGCTTAGGGTGAGCAATTGTCCGTTTCATAGAGAATAAACATTTTAATTATTTTATCCATATTCAATAATTACAGTTAAGAATTTTTTTTTTTTAAATCTTATTTTGTTCAGCCTGAGAGTCCAATTCTTCCTGTCTGCTTGTCAATGGGGTTTAGTTATATTTTTCATCTCTGTTACTTCAAGTCTTATGTTAATATCCATTTTATGTAATTTTATATTTTCAAAATTTATTTCTCTAGCAAAAAAATGGGCACCCCATTGAAAATAAAATTCATTTTGGAAATAAAACTATATAATCTCTTACAGAAAATGGACTCAGTGGTGATATGATGTGTGCTACCCCGAAAAAGGGTGTTTATATGTATAATTTACATATTTAATGAGTAAAGTTTTATGTAGGGGTGTCAATTTTTGACATGACTCGAACCCGATCTGAAAAAATTCGGGTTATGTTCAACTCGGACTCAAAATGGGTCGGTTTTGGGTTCAACAAATCAACCCATTTTAAAAATTGGGTCGGGTTTGGGTTCGGAAACTTGATTCGTTTTTAAAAATGGGTCGGGTTCGGGTTGACCCGAACAGTGCCGGGTCAGTTCCGGGTTTGACCCGAACTCGATTCGTTGACTTGAATTGACACCCCTAGTTTTATGGTTTAGTTTGAAGTATTAAATCCATATTAATAACTCCTTTGAGTTATAGTATTTAAACAATGGGAAATAACTATGCTAATATACTTTTGTTTGGGACGATTTTTTATTGTTTGTTAAAATAGAGTTTTAATTAAAAAATTTAATTTTTGCACTAAAATATTATTTTTGAAAATAATAAAAAAGTCGTTTCAAATGAAGCCTACATTATAGTACTCAATCTATATCATTGATAGTATTTTTTTTTTGGGTAAAATCATTGATAGTATTGATATAAAGACTATTAATGTGCTTTCTCAAAAAAAAAAAAAAAAATGATTAACTTTGATTTTTTATTGATATTTTTGATGGATAAGATTATCTAGAAATATTATTATGTGAGGATGGCAAATATTGCGATGTTAAATTATTTAAGAATTTATAATTATTAAGTAATATATATTGTTCACATGGAAGATTATTGAATTTTTTTTATATGGGCACATATATTATTAATAATGTATTTGGCGTTATCTTATTTTTAATTCTATTTAAATTATGATAAAATTAAAAACTAACTATTATTTATTTATTTAGATATCTCATTACTTATATATAAAACTTATTATGTGTAGAGCACACTTTTTGGTAAATGTTAGGCTAAGGCTTCATTTGAGACTGGCTTTCTTTTTGTTTTTTAACATATTTTTTTAGTAAAAAAAATTTAATTTTTAACTAGAAAGTAAATTTAAAAAGAAATAAATATCATCTCAAACGAAGCTTTCATAGAACAAAAGCACTTTAGTGCAAGTAATGAGATTTATTTTTCCTAAAATTCATGAATATGAAGTGCTTTGGTTATAAAGTGCTTTTGAGCATGTAATGAGATATATTTGGTGTTCTCTTATATTAATGAGATTTATTTTTCCCAAAGTTTTTTTGTGCCAAACAAATCTCATTACTTTACTTATATAGAACAAAATCATTTATTTTTCCTAAAATTCATCCTTAATATGCCAAAATAAAGTAGAGAAAATACTATTTTTCATGAATATAAGTGTATAATACTTATATTACATATAATATATTTTTGAAATTAAGGCTTCGTTTGTGACTGCTTTTTTACTGTTTCTTAAAGCAGCTTTTTAGTATAAAAATTAATTTTTTTCTACTAGAAAGCTGCTTTAAGAAGCTGTAAGAAAACCGTCCCAAACGAAGCCTAAATCTCATGCATTTTTCTCAACTTCTAAAATACTTGAAAATTATTTTTTATTTGGTAATTCATGTATAATGATTTAATATCTGAGGGCTAAGAGCTTAATCACTAGCCATGAGAACTCTAGTGGATGGAGGAGGGATTGGATGTTATATTGTTTATAGGAATTCAGTTAATCATGTGATTCCCTTATATTAAGCTTACTTAGATGCTTTGCTTGATTCACAAGCATTTTAAATTCACTAAATAAGGTTTAATTAGCACAAAATCCTAAGTAAACATTGACTATATTTCCCTTTGACCAATTTTTATTCATTTACATGCTTTAACATGGTTGAACAGTAAACACATTATTACAATTACAATAATACACATTTCTGCCTAAGTAAGCCTAATTAGATTTTTCATATAGCATCAAATCTATAATTTTTTGCCACCCCTCAATATGTGTTTGCCCAAAATTATAAAAACAATTCATTTTTACTTGAATCAAGTGGTTTAACGAGATAAATCTCGAGGTATATTTAAATTAGAAACACTATATTAAATTTGGGATCACCCAAATTTCAATTTAAACAAATTTATAGTCAAACTGAATGTATTAGTGAGACGAATCCACCAACACTAAAATCGGTCTAACCGGAGCACAAATGGGCCCAAATCAATGGCTTGAAGCATATTTGGAAGCTTTAGAATATTAATTGGGCGACTAAATGATATCTAAATATAACATGTTTATATTTGAATCAAGCGGTTTAACGAGACAAATCCAATAAGCCTAAGATTACTTAATTATGACATAAGTAAGGCACTTAAATGCTTGATGAGGACTCAATGATCGAGGAAATTAATAAGGGCCATCTGATGGAGCACTATGAATTTTCCTGGGATCTGCTCTATATATATGGAGCATGCTACTCTCAAAATCTATAAATAGACCCACTCTCGACATGAATGATACTTTGGGAGGAGCTTAGACCCTAGGCTTGAGATTCAAGAGAGCTCTCAAGTTCAAAGAATCCTAGCAAGCGATTACTATCCTTTCAATCATCGTCGCTCGACTACTATCCTTCAACCTCATTCATTTGACTACGGTCCTTTTGATATCTGTCACCGACTAATTGTGGTCCCCCTAACCTCCATCATGTGCCAATCACAGTTCTTCCGATTATAATCCCTTTGATCCAAGTCACCAGCTTATGGTACCTCCAACCTTCGTCGATAGACTACAGTCCCTTTGACCTCTGTCGCCCGTCGACTACAGTCCTCGGACCACCATCACCTAACTACAGTCCCTATGACCTCCATTTCTTACTATTTATGGTCTTAGGACTACCGTTTCTCGACTATAGTTCTTCTGACAAATATAGATATTCCATAAGTTGAAGCTTATGCTGTTTAAAGGAGCTATAGGACCTTAAGCTATAAAAGACTGGTTATTGCAGATAGAGAAATTTTTTAACAATATGTAGTATCCAAAGAATTAAAAGGCACCATTTGCTGTGTTCCTCTTTGAACGAAAGACTTAGAAATGGTGGGCTGAACATAAGAGAGAGAGAAATATCTGAGGAAAATAAATGCTAAGATCACTTGAGATGAATTTACCCATGTATTCAGAATGTAGTTTGTACCTCATTTAGCCTAATAATAGATGGATGAAGGATTTATCAAGTTGAAGTAGGGATGCCATACATTGATGCAGTACGAGACTGAGTTTACTACATTGGCTAGGTTTGCTCCTCACTTGATCTTTAGAGAAAAGTGGTACACATTTTTGTAAAGGTTGAATATGGACCTGAGACATCTATTAGAACCTTTACAAATTTAGGAGTTTTTTGAGTCACTAGAGCGGATTAGATTGACAGAGGTTGATTTAGAAGCATTAACATCCAGATATGAGGTGAGCTCGAGGTACAATGTTAGTAGGATGAGGGGTGGAGATGAACCAAGTAGAGATAGACATAAACTGATAAGAAAAGTTGCTAGTGATTTGAGGGGATCTAAATCTATATCATATATCGGCGGCTAAGGGGAGTGCATTCATTATTGTCGATGACATTTGGGTTAATGCTACTTTTGACGGGGTGATGTTTTCGGTGTAGACTTGGACACAAGGAAGCAGCTTGTCCTTAAAGGGAATTTAGAGGAAGGATTGATTCTAGTGCAGGACCGTTTAGACAGTTTATAGGACAACGAATTATAGGGTCAAGAACATATAGTAAAAGATCGACCAATAGGATAGATGCTAGAGCTATTAATGGTAGTTAGAGGGAGACTGTTACACCACGATTGATTGCACATACTTCAGTGATGCCATATGTGTAACTTATAGTATTTGGAAGCCCCTGACTACGATCTTCCTGATCTCAGTCGTCCAACTATGGTCCCTCTAATCTCAATCACCCGACTACGGTCCCTACGACATCAGTCGTCTGACTACGGTCTCTTCAACCGTTGTTGCCCGACTATGTTCCCACTGACCAAACAAACAAGCCTATGATATCTTAAGAACAACTCTTATGCCATTGCGTTCTTCCAACTCCAACCATATAACATGCACTATATAATACATATTTTCTATGTTATGCTAATGCCTTCCCCCGTGGAAGGTCATCCTTTGTAATTAATGATAAACACTTTAAGAATCATTTCAATTGGGCTAGACCTCATGGTTTTTCCTCTTTTCATCTCTTATGACTCCTGCACCCATCTCTTTTTTATCTCTATGTGTGATTGATCTTCATTTAAAACTAAGATGTTAAGCTCTCTATCTCTACGGAGATGCAACAATATATATATATATATATAAATTAATAAGCTTATAAAAATTAGGGTGATGATTGAGCCGAACATGATCAAGTACAGTTTTTAATAGCCCTAAGGAACATGGCTTATCAAGAAGCAATGCTATGAAAGACTCCACAAGAAGAAGAACTTTTAATGTTTTTTTAAATTTAAAAATCCATGTTTTTCATAATTTTTTATGGAAATTACTATAGAAGAAAATTGGCTGGGTACACATCCACATGAAAATTGGATACTTTTCCAGATCTATACTTAGTTTATTGCCAATTGTCACAGAGTAATATATAGTTTATACCTTTGAAAAAGAATATTTTTCATGTATTTTTATGTGTTTAAGATTGTACAAAGCAATAAAAGAAAAAGATTGTACAAAGCAATAATTCTTTATTTGAACAATTATACTTAAAATTTTTCAAAAGTAAACTAATAATTTCCTGAAAACTTGAAGTAATCATTCTTATACATTCACAAGTTTAAGATATTATTTCCCTGAAAACTTTGCATGTAATTTTTGGAAAGCATTCAATGCCACTTAGGCTCAGGCTTCGTTTCGGACGGCTTTCTTACTGCTTCTCAAAGTAGTATTTTAATACAAAAAAATATATTTTTTTACTAGAAAATAGTTTTAAGAAACAATAAGAAAGCAGTTCTAAACAAAGCCTTTGTTTGGGATAGTATTTTTTTTTTTAAAATTTTTAAAACACTTCTTATAACAAAAAATTATTAATTTGTAGAATTTTTGTACTAAAAAATTATATTAGAAATCAATAAGAAAGTTGTTCCAAATGAAAGCTTAATTATTAATTTGAAATTACTATCACCAAATAATGTTAGTTCATGTTTTTTAATTTTTATCCTACGAAGAAATTATATTTCGAATAATTAGTTTTTTGTCAAAATTTATGAAATACTTGTAATTTATTTCATCAAGGACATTTTAAAAACTTGATCACATTTTTTTGGTTGACAAGATGCAGCATATTGTATGAATATTATATAAAGTAGAGCTATAATTCTTTATAATCAAATCATAGTAAAATCTACAAATGAGAAGAATATAATTTTCATATTTTTTGGTCCTTCATGGAATGAACCCTTATATTGGAACATCAGATTCCAAAACTTTCTTTATTTCAGAGTAATAATCTCTCCCATTCTTCTGTTACATAACGCCTCCATATCTCAACTAAACATAGCTCTAATCATCTTCCAAAATCCAAAAAAGACAAAAAAGATCTCCCTTTCTCACCTGTATATTGGCTTTGGAGGAAGACAGTGAGCAGTCTGAGCAAATTCTGCTTCAGATGAACAGTAACAGACTCTCTCCTTATTCTTTTCCACCACTTTCAGAATACTCTGAAACACAGAAACCTCACATGGCATCCTCAATACTCCTTCCTGCTGAAACCCAAACTCTTCTTCTGCTTCTTTTAACAGTACTGAAAATGCTCTGTGACTCAAATATTCTGTTGGAATCACAAATCTCTCCTTCTTTTCTCCAACACAGACAGCTAAAAATCCTTTTGGAACTCCATTTGTTACTGAAGAAGAGGAAGAGGAAGAAGAAGAAGAAGAGGTTCTCCCGAGAAAGATTTTCTTTGGAGAAATTGCAAGCTTTTTCCACTTCTTTAACATTTGCTGAAGCCTGACAATCTCAGTGATTTTATTGCTTGACCTATTCTGATCCATAAATGAAACTAACAGAAGAGAAAAACTCGTTGGTTTGAGATTGCAGTGAGGTTTCTTAAGTATTTAAAGTAGTTGGGAGCTTATATTATATTCATATTATTTTGTAATTTTTACAATATTGTTGCAACGGTATTCTCTACATATCTCTAAAGCTATGTTTGGGGTGGCTTTCTTTGCTTCTTAAAATAAATTTTTGGTACAAAAATTTTTAGGAGATCATAAATAATTATGTCCTTGTTTGTTTGTTTCTGTGGAATATTTTTTTTTTTTGACTAAAATGAGCCAGATTCTAGCTAATTACAAAGGTAATTAATGTATTTTTTAATATGTTTGAGTACTAAGATCAATAACAGCCAATGGCATTATACTTTTAGTCAAAAGTAAGCATTGTTGCTTGTTTTTTTTTTTTTAATATATATATCCAAGGGTCATTTAGTTGGATTCTTTAAGTGAAAATCACAATTTCAAAATTAATGAAGCTTGTTAAATTTATTATTTAGTTCCATATATTTAAACATCAGGATAGATTTCAAATAGTATAGTTTTCACAAAGCACCCTCATAATAGATGATTTTATTTTTACACTCCGTAAGAGTGAAAATGAAATAATTTGCGAAAATAAAATAATTATTTTTTTGAAACATGATTTATCGAGAAGAGGATCAAAATGGTCCCAACTCTTTTGATAAAGCAATTAAAACTATGACTAAAATTTTTGAAATTAAAACTAAAATTATTATTAATATTTTTTATTAAAAAATCATTTAATAAATTTTTTTTAAAAAAATATATTTAATAAACATTTAATTAAAAATGATCAAAATATTCTTAAATTTAACACCATTAACTTTAAAATTAGATGTTAGGACCAAGAATGCATCATTTTAAAGAGTTGAATGATCAAATTAGCTCTCAAAAGAGTTGGGGATTATTTTGAATCATTTTTTCATGATTTATATTTGCAAGCAATCTGATGTGTATGAAGTTGAGTTGAGCTTGCCCTTGATGAGTTTAATTTTTGGATGAGTTGAATAGTCCCTTGGACAGCTTTTATTTGCAAACAACTGATCAGTTGAAGTTTGCCTTGATGAATTTTGCTTTTATACGAATAAAACTCTTCTTTTGACAAATTTAAATTTTGGATGAGTTGAATAGTCCCTTAGGCAGCAAATTATTGCATCCGGTCACCGGACGCGGAGAATAGGTTCGGACATCTAATAAAATTTTGCCACGTCACCTGCGCTTTAGTTGCGCTTTACCTGCTCTTTGACCTGCGCTTTACTTGGCATTTACCTGCGCTTTACCTGCACTTTACCTGCGTTTTAGTTACGCTTTACCTACGCTTTAGTTGCGCTTAATTTAAAATAATATTTTATTAATATCCAGACCTATCTCTGCGTCCGGTGATCGGATGCAATAATTTGCCCCCTTAGACGCTTCAACTATTAGGCGAGTTGAATATGGGGGAGGAATTCCTCGTCTTTTGCAGAATCCAAGAATGAGTTTCTTAAGTCTTTATTGAATTCCAAGGGTGAGTTACCCATGTATTTACTATTTTCTTAGACAAGTTTACTGTTGGTGATGATGTCTTCTTCTACTATAGGAAAAACACGCATTTCCGGCATAAAAAAATTGTTAGAAATGAGAATAATTCGCCAAAAAATTATCTTTATGGCAGATTTCAGATAGAAAATTATTTGATGGTAAAAAATACGTCGGAGATTTGTTTCCAACGAAATAATTTACTCGGAAGCCTTTCATGTGGATTTCCTAGAGGACTTCCAGCGGAAATATGTCCAAGGAAACAATTTTTTAATTCGCTTTTCGGCAGTTTTACCCGCCGATATATTCGCCTGAATTATAGATGGTATTCTGCTGGTCAATTCCACCTGAAAGCCCGACACAAATTTCTAACAGATAATTGACCAAAATTTTTGGTGGATTTGATGCCAAAAAAATTTGTCAAAATTACCAGCAAACATTTCAGCGGATAATCCATCAGAATTGTCAGCATATGTTTTCTGCTCGAAATGTAATCGTAATTCGTTGTATCGAGGTTTCTGGCAAAATATCTATCGGAAATCTGCCAAAAACCTATAGCATAAAAAATAAAAAAATAGCACCTTTTTTAATTATTGTATAACACAACAATCCTACAATCATATAGTCAAAATATACATATATTATCATCACATTTCAATATTAAATATAAACACTGATGCTAAAGTTATCAGACATTTGATCTAAAAAAAAAAATCTACAATTATCAAATAGTTCTAAAACAAACATCAAGTTCATTATACGATAAAAACACAATATAAAATCTACAAACACATAGTAATATCATGTCCAGTAATAAAACAATCTACTCAAAATCGATTTTGTCATTCTCCTCCTTCAATCATGGCTACTTTCCATTGAACTACTCCTTCATTCTATGCATTTCCTATAGTATCTGACTTTGTTGCATCTATATATGCATTTTCTTGCCAACTTATAATTTTTGAACTTGATCTAGCTCTGCTGTAAAGGCAACAACCTTTTGGCTATACAAACTCTCTTGGTTGCTTCCTTAGAAGCTGGTGCCACCAGATATATGCCCTCATACGCGTAGGCATGCTAGCCTAATCCTTAAACCCATCCTTTCTACATTCTACGTACCACTTATGATCAAGTGCGATAGTCAGAATAATCTACAGATCTTGTAGAGGATCCTTCACCTGCTCTAGACTGGCTCCTCGAAGCCGTATATACTCTTCCTATAAAATTTAACATGAGATTAATCAATTTATACATAACACTTAAAATTATAAAATTATATACTTATGTAGGCCTTCCTCGCTTGCTCATCCATCCATTTCTGATCCTCCTGCCACTTGTGGGTATGATTGCCAGTTAGAGGAGTAGGTAAAAGCAGGCTTGGCTGGGTTTGAGTGATAGACTGATAGGAAGATGTCCCCTTAGTATAGGCTTATTGGATGATCCACTGGTCACTTCTTGAGCCTATCAAAGATGTTTTTGATCAATCGCTTTGGGGGGGGGGGGGGGGGGGGGGGGGGGGTTAGAAGAGATATTAGCAACATAAACTATAACAAATTGAAGTAACTACTACTATGATATTAAAAACTAAATTAACTTCTACATACATTTAATATATTTACATTTTATTTACTAATTATTTATTGATTCACATCAATACGATGACAAATCATCTTCACCACTAACATATTCCTCATAATTTTTCTCAATGTTTAAATATACTTCATCTAACTACAACTCACTCTCATTAGTTGCAATTTGATTGTCAACATAGTTAGTAATATCTTTTAAGTTTGTTATAAGCTCTTCTTGATGTGTTGATGGTATTGATGTAATTTTCTTGATAACTCCCCATGGTTTGGTCTTGACGACTATGAGCCAATCTTGTTTGACTCATAATCTATCTAGATAGTTTACAAACTAAACTTGGCTTGCCTTAATAGCAATGATAAATGGTCAAATTTTGCATATATCCTACCCAGCTTTAATTATATTATACCATAAAGTGAATATAATCTTGCACCTCTGTTTTGCACTGGTTCAAATTAATCACAATTAAAAAGATACAAGTTGTTTCCATCACCTGGATATTTCAACTGTAATATTTCTTCTAAGACCCTATAATACTTAGAATCATTACATGTATGGGGTTCCCACTTACACAAATAATAGAAATTTCTATCTTCCTACATTCACACCAAGTATTAATTTGGAATTTGTAGCTGTTAATAAAAAAAATTGGCCAATATTTTACTAATCTATTTTGTCCCCATGCCAAATCAAATAGTCCTTGATACTACAAAGCACTACCTTAAGTGTGGACTTGATTGATTTATCAAATGTACATATGCTATTAGCATATTTTTTGTGTTAACTCATTAAGAGGAAAAATTATAAATGAGTATTCAGAATATATATCATATTTTTGAATTAGTTTGAAAATTTTATTTATATTATCTTTTGAATTTCTATTGATATTGATGTACTTAAACCATTAATAAAAAACTTACAAATTTTTAGTTATGATTTATGAGTGATAAATGTATAAAAAGTTAACTCATACCTACTCGATATATGACTCAACTTCATCATAGATAAGTAAGGCGTACAATGTGATAGTTCTCATCTCCTTATCTATCAAATAGTGCATGACACTAGCATTTGCGGGCTCCCCACATCTGTTGAATAGAGATATAATTTAATATTTACATTAATCTAGAGGACCCAAATTTTGGGGTACTTTACTCCTTATTGATTGCAAAGTAACATGTACAAAATTAGGTTATCTCGTACATTAGATTTGTTTTACAAATTAATCATTTATAATGTATTTGGTTCTTAAAATTAAATATTCTTAGATTTATTTAAATACTTGTATGATGTATGCTTATTAGTGATAACTTCTTAATATACATATATCAAAATTTATATGTAGGTAGGAGGGCTATCTCTTAAAGGATACATCCATCAATACTAAACATGTCCTCCAACTATAGTCTCATTTGATAAATACATGAGTAGATGGTTCATAGGTTCGAAGAATACTGGAGAAAATAGCTTATTAAGTTTACCCAAAATAAAAGAAATATTATTCTTCATATGAATCACATGTCTTGTATTCAATTTTGAGGAGCATAAATCCCTAAAAAAGTTATTTAGCTTGATCATGGGCTTTAAAATTGGATATGAAAAAAATTAAAGGCAGTTGGTAGTAAATATTTCATGAAGATATGTAATTCATTACTTTTCAATCCAAATAATCTCCTCAATCTCATGTTAATACATCTACTAAGATTGAAAGAATATCCATTAGGTACATTTAGAGTCCGCACCCATTCATAAACTGCTCATCTCTGCTCTAAAGTCAAGGTAAATGAAACTTTTGATTTTAGAAGTTTTCATTTACACCATCCTTCAAATCTAGATTTTTTTTCCTACAAATCTCCTTTAAGTCCATTCTT